GTGGAGAGGGGTGAGGCAGGAGCGTGGGGAGGGCGGAAGTGCGAAGGACCAAGGAGCAACCTGCGCACACACCAGCTCTCCACCAGGCGTGTGCTTACTACATATGATGAACATATACTCATAAAAAGAGGGGAAAGCAAATTATTTCTCAGTATTTTAACAGTAAGAACAACAAAAATATTAAACAGTTTTGAGTGCTTAATTCCTAAGCACTTAACATAATTGGTGACCATTATCATTTTCCTTTTGCTGAGATTCACAGAGAATGAGTAACAGACCTCAGGGTTCACAGCTAATACATTAATATATCAGAGCATTTCATTTATGTTTCTCCTTAAGTTTGCCTGGTTCCCACATACAGGGGGCTAACGGGTTTCAACTCAGAGCCTCACACACTAACCACATGCTCTACCCCTGAGCCGCATTCACAGCTGTCCTATGTTTTAAAGACAGTGGAAATTTCAAGCTTGCAAATTTGCCGGCCTAACCCCCCTGCAAGGGATCAGGGATACTGGGGCAGGATGAGACTCATGAGCTCCTTCAGGGGAGACCGAGGCCTGCATGTACAATTTTGCCAAGGAGTGGTGTCTCTGGATAGCGGGGAGATCACAGGGCCTGTATGGACTAAAGCCACACACAGGCGTGGACATCCATAAGGAAGAGCTCATGGAATATCCACAAGTGCTTGGGCACCAAATACACTGTTTCAGAACTCAGAGAGTGATCTGAACTTGCATTTTCCCAAGGTCTCGTCGCCTGCTTGGGGAAGGGAAAAGAGAGAGCTAGCACTTATTGAGCACCGACTGTACATCTGTCACTGTGCCTGACACTTTGAAACACTAGGTCAGATAATGAAAACAACTAACATCTCAGTTCAATCAGTGAAGAAGCTGAGACTCACACAGGGCAAGTAACCCCCTCCACATAGTGGCCAGCCTTAGCACCTGCACCTCACCTGTTTGTGTTTATAACAGACCACGTGGGTCATCACGTATGAAATATCAAATAGAGACAGAAATATGAAAAAGAGGGAAACAGGGAGAGAAAGAGATACATACATGGTAAAAAGCAGAGACAGGGCAATGAAAAGATCATCCTTCACTTCATGAAGCTTCTAGTTGAATGACCCAGACACACTACTAAGGTACTGCACAAATAAGAGAATAACTTTAGTACTCTATTATTAAACAAATAAATAGATAATTTTCAACACTGAGCAAGTTACTTCACTTTTCTGAGTCTGTTATCTATAAAATGCAAATCAGAGTCGAGCCTACCTTCAGTGTTGTGAACATTAAATAAAGGAATCTGCTCAAAGCGCTTAGAACCGTGGCTAATACCTAGACAGGCCCAGCCCCAAGTGCTCATTACTGCTGCTGCTGTTAGTATTCTCCATGCAGCCATAAAAGCACACAGGATGCAGGGCTCCCTGCCTACAGGTATGCCCCCTGCAGGCTTCTTCCTGCAAGAGAAGACCCTTCGTACCTTGGTCTCCCTGGGCAAGGGATCCGGTCAAGGTGGGGGGCTCGTTCACATCTGCAATCTGAATTAAAATGCTCTGTGACGCTGTGGCTCCGTGGTTGTCTTTTGCGTAGATTACCAGGGAATACAGTGCCACCATCTCAAAGTCCAGCTTGGGTACTCCAACGGTGAATAACTAAGTTTTAAAATGAAGGAAAAACAGTGGAGCTAACGACTGGCTTCATTAAGACATATGGAATATTTTATATCTACAATCTCCAATATCAATTGGTGTTTTTGCTTTGTTTTTTGAAATGGAGTCTCAGTACACTGGTATAGAATTCCCAAGCTCAATCAAGCTTCCCACCTCAGCCTCCTGAATATCCAGAACTAGAGGTACACATCACCATGCCCAGCTTCAGTCAATATTTTTTAAAAGGCATAAAGGTCTTAACCTGAAATGTGGAAGCAGAATGGTCTGATTTATCAAGAACTTCCATGAGCAAAGAATTCGCTTATGCCAGTCAAGTGATTTCCCTCCCAGCCTCCCCACCTTGGTGTGATTCTTCCTAGTAACAAAGTTAACCATTCATCAAGTCTCTCCTAGACTTCATCTCCTCAAAGATTACCATGAGGACTTTAAAAACATCTCCTTCTATCCTTAATATTGCAGAGTAAGTACCATGATTGGGTGCATTTGATAGATGCAGAAACAGATTGTGGGTGTTTAGCAGCTTGGCTAAGTTTCCTCAGAAATGCAGTGGATCTGGGCTCCATCTGACTTCCTCTGGGTGTCCCCCAAAAGTGCCTTGTGTTGGAAAGTGTATTGTATCATGGGGTGCTATGCTCACTGGTGGATTAGTTCACTGATCAGTTTGTAGCTGGCTTCCTGTTAGGAGATAAGGCCTACTTAGAGGCAGATCACTGGTCAGGTAACCTAGAAGGGAGTACTCCTGTACCTGGCTCCTCCCTTCTCTTTCTGCTCCCAGGCTGCCATGATGTCAGCAACCACCCTCTCCCAAGCTCTTCTATCACGCCATCTCTGCTTGGAGCTGGCTGACCATGGACTGAGTCACTGAAACCTGGAGCCAAAGTAAACCACCCCTTCTGTAAGTTATGAGTGTCAGGTATTTTGTCTCAGTGACAGTTCTCATGCTCTTACACACAAATCTAAGCTGCCTAGCACCTAGAATGAGTGGAAAGATGGGATAAGAGTCCCTCTTGTTCATCACCTGTTCAGTCACCCACATGTTCTGTTGTTTTCCTTCTTGGTTTTCAAAAGGACTTTTGAACGTCTCTGTTGGCCTGAGACCCCGTGAGGCTGAGTATTAAGAGATCTGAGTTCACGCCCCACCTCTAATGTGAAATGCCTGCAAGACTCTGGCTGTGGCCCTTCAGGTCTCTGATCTGGTTTTCTTTATCCTTATATAAAAGCCTTGAAGATTTACCACTAATGTCCTTCCCATGTATGGCATGATATGTGTGGGTTAAAGAATGTTTGTTCTTGTGAAATAATAGAAAACGAGGATTGTACTGAGCAACAGTGCTTGCTGGAAGGGGTTGAATACTTGTCTTTGGACACCCTGTGTCAAATCATGAACCTCCTCTCTAAATTATGATGGTAAAGCAATGCTGATAGCTTACATTTATTGAACACTTACTGTGTGTTAACTGTAAGCATTTAATATTAATTACATCATTTAGCTGTAAAATAGTGCAGGTGATAATCTTAGTACGCCTATTTTACAAGCAAAGATATAGAAATGTAGAAAGACACCCAGCAAGAAACAGGCAAAGTGCAAATTCAGACACCAAAGTCCATGGTCTTAACCACCAACCACACTGCCCTCATGGCTGCTTTTAGAACACTGACGCTCAGAACAAAGAGCCATAATGTCACCCTGAAAACCTTATAGTAACAAGAGCTCATGTTGCTTGATCATCCCCTGGGTAACACGCACTGCTCTCTGTTCTTCATTAATTATCAAAACAGTCTCAGGAGAGAAGTGTTCTTTCCCACTTCACAGATGAGGAAACTGAAGCTTAGGATATATAAAATGGGTAGGAAATTCCTGCTGCAGGTGGAGGCAGAACCCGGGCCTGACCTGTCCAGTCTGCTTCCTGAATCCTTGCACTGACCAGCACTATTGCGAGAGCCCCATGGGGCTGTGGAGTATCAATTCCACAGAAATTCAGCCGCACATCAGTGCTCGATGCCTGTTGTCTCCTGAGCATATCCTGGACACTACCTCACACCTACCCCACAGAGCAAATGCTATTACCCCACACCATTCTGCTGCTTAAGAAATAGGCTCTGAGGGAGGAGATCTTGCCCGAGATATGATAGCTAGCAAGTGACAGAGTTGAGATGTAAAGTCAAGTCTTCCTGACTTTAATGCTATTTTCTTTTCTCTACACCCTGATGATCTCTGATAAGTTCATTTAACACCATAACCTGGTTTTTAAGATGTACAAGTTTTCCAGCCCCAAGAAGAAAGTGCTTGTCCTTGAGGAACTCCCTCATTCAGAAGGCAGAGCCCTAAGCAGGCTTCCTTTTCAAGTGGACCCCTCTGTCCTGGGGATGCCAGAGGGTCGGCAACGAGCTCCCTCTCCCTTCCTGACACCTTACACGGCATCAGGCTTCGCATCTGCTTTCAATGAATATTTATGAAATCAATGAAATTTCTTATTCTTTACTCTTACACTGTAAGAAGACAGGGAGATGCCTAAGTCCCCTCCGGTTGATATCCCCCACCCCATCCGGAGAGCAGGACTTGTGCACAAGAAGGGTGGCTTGCATTCGCTCCCGTCCTGCGGACGCAGCCCTCCTCATGTTGCTCCATGACAGGTAGCAGTTTGAAGATTGCATAACTGGAGCATACCATGTCTCACTTTCAGCAATTTATCTGTGTAAAATCAGTTCACGTCAAGTTTGGTCACTGTTTGCTCTTGTTTCTCTGGGAGACCAGTTTGGTGTTTGGTCAACATAGACCTTGTTTGCCTGTCCAGCTGCCCCTTCTAAGCTCAACCAGTATCTTGCAAAGCAAACAAGCATGTAAGTGGCAAGGAAACAAGTTCAACAAAGGATAATGATATGAGAAACTCCAAGTGGAATAGCATATGCTCTCTCTTTACTGTAACATCATAGAGACAGATATTAACTCATTTCATGTAGCCTTTATCTACAAGTATATTTCCATGCTGTGGAACTGTTTTATAATTTAACAGTTGCTAATGTTATCTACATCTGGTCTTTGATGTAGTTTTAGTAACATGGCTACATCTCCTTTTTTAATGCTCTACAATCTGGCTACAGTAATGCTGAACAATTGGATTATATTTACTATAGTGACTACTGTGTGTGAAGTGGTTGGTATGGACTAAGCAGCAAGCTGTCACTCTGCACACCATACCTCACAGGATCTTTTTGTCAGGCCCTGAGCATTATTGTTGCTAATCTCATTACACACAAAAGAAAACCAAAGCGAAAAAGTCAAGCAATTTACCTAAGGGAATGTTGCTGTGACTGAAAACTAAGCTTGTCAGACCCTAAGAGCTACCCTTAGAAGGGCTATGCTCTCTACCGTACAATAACAAAAATAATGAATAAAATTACCGAACGTTCTGCTGCCTTTGCCACTGGTTAGACTCGTGACAAAAATCTAATGCAGAATAAGCGTGAGGGCCCGCTCACTGCCCCTCTGCCATCCAGGGAGACACAGTGAGCCTTGGGCGCCTTCGTGAGCCACTTGCGATAGGAGAAGTCCCGCCCACTGCCCCCCACCATCACGGGAGCTATGGTGAGCCTCGGGGAACCTCTGGAACCTCGGTCAGGAGGAACCTCGGTGCCTGGCCCATACCCCCACACCGTGGGAGTGGCAGCCAGGGTGGGAAGTGCCTGGGACGCAGCAGCTGGCTCATCCAGGTGAACCCAGGGTAAATGCACTCTAACGAGGGGAAACACTTTGCATACAAACTCCTAATTTATGATCAGTTCTGTTATGTAACTATAGACTTAGCTCCTCTGGTCTAAAGTACAAAATCAGTAGTTACTATAGTTTGTCACTTTCTAAATTGTGTTTATTGCTAATTGTACTGCTGTAGCTAGGATGTCATATCTGCTGTAATCAGTTGTTCTCCCTTGTGTAATAATATTGAAAAGCTCTGGGATAATAACCACATCACAGCCCTACACCAAAAGACTGGGGACAGAGCCAAACAGAAACCAACATCTCACTCTCAATCCATTGGGAAGGTAGGATCTTGGGACAGACACAAACCAAGAATCTCCTACACAGAGAAGATATCCCTGAAGTATAGACTATTCCTGAAGAAGCCTTGATATTAGTGATATAGCTACCTACTACCAAAACTCACAAGGATCATCACAGAAAACAAAATTAAAAATTTTTTTGAAATAGTAAATATCAAAATGAAGTAGCAAAATAAAATCTCATACCTCCAGCCCATCTAGAACAAGTCCAGGAGACTTTGA